TGGAAGGCATTCATAGATGATGAAGCGCTATCCAAACATGCTTGTTTATTTATGCCCCTCCTTCTGCCTGAAAGGTCGGAAGGGAGCTCGCAGGAGTAAGAAAAATTAAAAGTGAAAACAAAAAGAGAAAGAAAAACACAGGTGGGGCCTCCAGGGAGACTGGAATGAGGCGGAGCTGAAGCCTGTACTGACCCCCGGCTCACCCGGCTGTCCGGCTACACCAGCAGCAGGGCTTTGGACTGGGACCGCCTTCCAGCACCTCCTGCACAGATGCCTGCCGATCCGAGGCCCCCCAGAAATGGTGCCTCCCCATCCTCCCTTCCCTCTTCCTCCTCGATTTCCAACACTCTCCATTCCAGCCAGACTGAGCTCCTCACACCTCATTCATTCTCGCCTCTGGCTGTTGTCTTTCACCCCTCACCTGTGCTCCCCACCTGCCTCTTCTTCCCACCTGGACCCCTCCCCTCCTCCAGCTCATCGGCCCTACATAGTCTTGGGCCTCGGAAATCTCCCTCCACTGTTTTCCCCACTCAGATGAATATTTCTGAAGACCAGCTGTGTACCAGGCACTGAGAGAAGTTGTCTTGCCAAAGATGGCTTCGTATTTGGCTCTCAAGTACCTTCTGGGGGAATAGGACTCGTTCACTCTACAGTTGATTCCCTAGGGTCTGGCCTCCGTTTCTCCCCACTCCCTTCACTCAAACCAGCCACGGGGAGCTGAGGCCTCGCCCCAGCCTCTGCTCCTTCACTGCCCACCTGCTTCCTTCCTTCCACGGCGCCCATAGAGCCTAAGCCCCCTTCCTAGCTCCTCCCAGATGGGGGCAGAAGCTCCTCTATCCTGAGGACTGAGGACTGGATGGGTCTGTCTCCCTGTGTCCTCCTTGAGACTGTACACAGGGAGGGAGGGTAGGGCGCTGTTCCCTCTGAGGCCCCAGCTGTGCGGACAGCGCTGCAGGCCTCTCGCAGGGCACACAAGTGGAGCGGGTGAGCTGGCAATACCCAGGCCTGTGGGAATGGGGCTGGGCAGCAAGCTTCCCGTGATGTCCCACCCATGCCTTTGGGATCCTCCACATTAGAGGTAACTGGAATTATAACTGCAATTATAAGGGCTTTGTTCTGCACACGGCATTAAAGCGCTCTCCGTGGCCTCTCTCACCTGCAGCCTTTTGAGCTACTGTTATTTTTATTTCCATTTCACAGATAAGGAAGCCAACTTCTCTCCCCACAGCAAGGATGAGGGGACATTATTGAGACACAACTGGAGGCAGAGGGAGGATGAGCAGGGATGACAGGACTTCTAGAAACACTCCCTTTCTCTTCCTGCCTCTTGTGGTTCCCAGGCCTCTTTTCCATTTCTAGCAGAGATGACGTTGGAAGAGAAAGAAATGAAAATAAAGTACAACTAACAGAAGGAGCCAAAGGCACATCCTCGGTTCCGCACCCCCACCCCTGCCCATCGAGGTACCAGTGGCCGGGGCTGGGCCAACCAGAGTGGAAGAAGGGTGAGGCTCTGCTGTTTTATAACAACCGCCTTCCTGGGCCTCCAAAGACCAGAGTCCAAGTCCTCTCCACCCCACTGTGGCTCAGCAGAGCCTCTTGCCCGGCCTCCCCACCTGGAGCAGTCGGTATGTACTGACCCCCGAAGCCCTCTGGGCTGCCCACCTGGATCCCATTCACTGCCCGGCCTGGAGCGGGTGAACTCCTCCCCAGCTCAGCCCCGTCTCCCAGGCTGACAGCTGTCTCCAGGCCTCAGCCCTCTTCATCCTCCTTCCCCAGGAGGGTCCTGAACGGACAGCACAGCAACCAGCTCGATGGAGACCGGAGCTTCCCAGCCCCGCGCCTGACTCCTTACTATCCTCGCCTCCAGTGTCTCGCCCTAGACCCAGCTCCCCACGACGAAGGTCCTGGAATGCTACCATGGCCTGTCCCTAGGGAGTCACTCCTCCCTCGCGAAGATCCAGGCCCCTGCTGCAGAGCTGAGGAAACTCTCAGCCCCTCCCGCAGGCACTGGTTCTTACCACACCCACTCAACCCTGACAGATCTCGGCGACTGAGGGACATAAAAAGTTCCAACATGGCCGAAACCGGTTTGGTTCGGTGGATAGAGCGTCGGCCTGCGGACTGAAAGGTCCCAGGTTCAATTCCGGTCAAGGGCATGTACCTTGGTTGTGGGCATATCCCCAGTGGGAGATGTGCAGGAGGCAGCTGATTGATGTTTCTAACTCTCTATCTCTCTCCCTTCCTCTCTGTGAAAAATCAATAAAATATATTTTTTAAAAAAAGTTCCAACATGGATGGCTCCAAACCTCAGTGATGGGCAGCATTCATCAGCAGAGCACACCTGTCCACAGTGCATAGCATCACCCCATGGTCCTCACACCCACTGGGCAGTGGCCGTCTCCCACGCCCCTCCATCCTCGCCTCCTCCAGCAGAAGGTCTCAACTCTGCAGGCTTGGCTGAATAGCCTGACTCTTCCCGTGAGCCCTCAGGGGCCCCACCAAATGCCCACCCAACCCCAGCTGCCCCAGGGCGGTGCTCACCTTAGCAGGCAGGTGCTCCCAGTGGCTGCCAGCGTACCTGGGAACAGTAGTTTCTTCTCTGAGAAAAAGAGCGGTCAGCCAGACCCTGTCACCATGCCAGCAGACAGTGTGGTGGGCGGGGAACCAGGCAGGAGTGGCCCATGCTTCCCGGCAGAGACCCGCCTCCCAGCCACCCTCCTTTGGGGGGGTGGGGAGCCCATCCCTGTCTGTTGGCAAAGTCCAGCTGAGGTCAGGGAGCCGAGGAGCCCGAGGAGTCAGGGGACTTGCCAGTTAGGTCTGGATGGGAGGGGACAGAGAGGAGATAACCTGGGTACAGGCAGCAACGCCTGGTGCAGGAGAACGCCCTCCCTACAGTGCCCTCTGCTGGTGAGTGCCCTGCCCCAGCCAGAGGCTACTAAAATGGCAGAAGGTTAGAGGATGGAACCTTAACCAGAGCCCCTCAAACTATAATGTGCACATGAACCATCTAGGGACCTTTTTAAAAAAATATGTTTATTGAGAGAGAGAGAGAAAGGGAGAGGGATAGAGAGATAGAAGCATTGATGAGAGAGAAACAGCAGCGGGCTGCCTCCTGCACGCCCCTTAGTGGGGTGGGGATCAAGCCTGCAACCCGGCCATGTGCCCTGACCAGGAATCGAACCGACAACATCTTGGTTCATGGGTCGATGCTCAACCACTGAGTCACACCAGCCAGGCCCACCTAGGGATCTTGTTAAAATTCAGGTTCTGGTCCCATTGGTTGGGGTTGGGGGTGTGAGATTCTGCATCTCTAAGGAGCTCCCAGGTGCTGCCAGTGGGATGACAGAGAGAGAGAGGCACAGAGTGAAAGAGAGGCACAGAGAGGGTTAATGAATCGCAATTTGCTGGTGGCATTGGGGTGGACCCATACCCCGCCCACACTCCGGGCTGGCAGGGACACAGGGAGAGTGGAACTTCAGGCTGTTTGCCACCCGAGTCCTTCCTGAGAAAGTCCATCTAGGAAAGGTGGTGGCGCTGGAATGAAAGCTCCCTGTGAAAAGGGATTTTTAAAGCTGTTTGCTGCTGTGTCCTCAGCTCCTGGCACAGCCTGACCCAGACCAAGTGTTCCACAGAGACTTGCTGACTGAATGAGTGGACCAGCTAAGAGAAAAGATGCATTTTGGATCCAGACCCACCTGCCAGCTAGGTCATCGTAGGCCAGGATCTCAACCTCTCTGAGCTGAACCCCTTGTCTGACAAATGCAGACCATGTCTATCTTGTGAGGGATGATCATTGTCATTGTTGAGCTAATAAGTCTAAAGAGCTCGACACAAAATGGGTGCTCAGTGCGTGGTAACTGTTACAGCCATGGCCTGGCCTCCTGCAACTGAGGGACCACTGCAAACCCCCAGCCCCCCAGGTATTGTCTCCCCTAAAAAATAGGTAACTGCCACTTTCATCTCAGTTAATGATTCTCTAGCTTCTGACTGCAACCCCACCCCTCTGCTGCCTTCCGGGGCAGGCGGCGGACCCCCATGTGGTCACAAGATGGCCGGCGGTCGGAGGTGAGAGCGTGGGATAAACAGCTCCCAGGGTCCCCAAAGTCGAGAGGTGGGCAAAGGAAGGTGGAGAGCAGCCAGCCTGGAAGGGGACCTCACACCTAAAGCTCAAGCAAGGGACAGTGAGTGATCAGAAGACTGATGGGATGAAAGGGGAGCTGTCAGTCTTTCCCGGGAAAAGTTCTTTTCTTTTTTTTATTGCTTAAAGTATTACAAAGGGTATTACATATGTCTTTTTTTTTTTTTCCCTGCCCGTCTGAGTCACATGGAAGGCTGTCTCCTCAGAGTCATAAAGCTCTAGGGCAGCGGTTCTCAACCTGTGGGTGGCGAACCCCTTGGGGGTCGAACGACCCTTTCACAGGGTCACCTAAGACCATCGGAAAACACATATATAATTACATATTGTTTTGTGATTAATCACTATGCTTTAATTATGTTCAATTTGTAACAATGAAATTGGGGGTCACCACAACATGAGGAACTGTATTAAAGGGTCGCAGCATTAGGAAGGTTGAGAACCACTGCTCTAGGGGCTTGTGAAAGACCTACCAAGCTTGACGCCCAAGCCAGGAAAGGCCCTGCCGACCAGCAGGCTACAACCAGGGGCTGTGTCCATGTATCATGAATTCATTCTCAAAATGGCACTTGGGTTCCATCTCAGTTACAGGAAGGTTCTAGAGACATCTGAGGGTCCCTTCCACCCCTGTGGACACAGAGCTGCTTCACGGGATGCAGCTGGGACTGATCTGTCTCAGGAGATGGGGCTCTCACAGAACCAAAGCTTCAATCACCCATCAAGGGGCCCTCCCCAGAGGCCACAACCAGCAGACCAGGGGACCCCGGCCAGAGAGAGCCCTTCAGGGCCATGCAGGCAACAACCTGGGCTCCCCAGCCAAAACCACCACCCTTATCATTGGTGAAAGGCGGGCCCCTGGGAGCCCTACGCTGCCCTTTCCCTCCCCCACCTGCCTCTGCCTTTCACACATCGTCCGTCCAGTACCCAGCCTGGGAGGTGTTGCCTGAGGTAAGGGGAACACAGGCCTGAGAATGGGGATGCACTGGGAATGGTGGAGAGCAGGAGAAAAGAGGTGGGGTGGGAGGGGGGCCTCCAAAGCTGGATAGAACAATAGAAAGCACAGAGATAGAGAGACAGGAAGGCAGAAGATGAACAAATAGACAGTGGGGAGCAAAAACAGATGAATCAAAGGATGCACAGGCAGGCAGGGTGGTCAGTCCTGTCCCCGGAACCCCCAGGACGTGGTCAGGGCCCTTGACAGGAGAGTATGGAGTGGGCAGTCAGTCACCCCAGAACACTGAGAATAACCACCGGTTTTTCCCTTTCAATCCTGTCTATCATGGAGGGGGGGAGGGGCTGACATATCAGGTGCAAATGAGAAGAATGATAGGGTGGGGCCTTGGTTGGGAGAGGGTCTGTTCATCGTCCCATGTGGGAATGGCCTCACAGCAACATGCAAATGAGCGTGCAGCAAATAAACGATCAGGGGGCTGTTTCATTGCGAAGGTCAGGCCACAGAAATCGGGGCGTGTGTGTTTGTGGCACCGAACCTCTGGAAGAGGATAGATGTAGGGAGACTCTCCCCCAGCCCCTGAGGGGGAGGGGAGACCTGAGGCTTCAGAGAAAACATCCCCCAGTGTCACTCCGCTGAGTTGCGTTCAGGCAGGTCAGGCTGGGCGGGCCCTGCACGTGCCCGTCTGGCCCAGGAAGATAAGCCCAGCAGATGGGCTGGCCCATTGTTGACTAGGAAAGACCCTCAGGGATCTTAGGCTCCCTTCGGGTCCGTTATGTCAGCTTGTTGAGTTCAGTCTAAGACACTGTCCCCGTCGAGGGCCTGGCCAGGTGCCGCCTGCCGTGGGAGGTACAAAAGATGGTCACGCGTGGGTCTGAGCTCCAGGATTCAGATCCGCGTTGCAGGAGAGGAGGCTTTAGCTCAGAAGCCGTTATCAATACCGGACAGTATCCTCCGAGTGCCAGAGGAGAGGGGTGGGAAAAGCAAGTCCATGGAAACCAGAAGAGGGGCTGGGCAGTGAGGGCCCACAGGAGAAGGATGGGAGGTGTCCAAGCAGGGGCCATAGCCTCCATGCCTAGACCTCCTATGGGGGGCGGGGGGTGGTGCTCAGACCAGGGAATGGTGTCAGACGGAGGAGGAAGCAGATGAGGGACACAAGGAAAGGTCTAAGGGGAAGGCTCACCGTTAGCATGTTCTCTGCACCCCCTCCTGCCCCCTAGATTTTGCCTCCTGGAGGAGAATGTGGCCTCAAGGGGCCATCTTTGTGGCCCTGCCCCTCCTGGGGCCCATCCTGGTCTGGCTCCTCGCCCCTCACAGGATGTCTGGCTGGTGTGACAGCCCGAGGAAACTGCCCTGGTGCCCACCCCACAAAATCTTGCTGCTTGTGTGGACCGCCATCTACTCTATCATAGGGTGAGCACCCGCTTCTCTTGCCCCGGGCTTGGTATCCACTGGGGTGGGAACAACCCCTGCCCCTGAACTACTGCTGCACACTGACCTCCAAAGGGATGGCGCCCAGCCTGCCTCTATGTGGTCCCTCTATGCCTGCCTAGGATTCCAGCCAGTCCTCTCCAAGCCTCCCCTGCCTCACCCACCTCACCATGCCCACTGCCCCCACCGTCTTCTCCCAGCCATCAAAGAATGCCTAGACATACCCACCCTCATTTCAGCCCACAAGGGGTCTCTCTTTGTAACCAGGAGCCCTTATGGCAGAGGGCTTCCTCCATTTCCCATGGAACATCCGCCTGTGAGCATTCCTACCGCCATCTCTTCACAGCTATGCCTCCTACCTGGTGTGGAAGGACCTGGGAGGGGGCTTCGGGCGGCACCTGGCCCTGCCTCTCGGCCTCTATGCTGTGCAGCTTGCCATCAGCTGGACCGTCCTGACTCTCTTTTTCGCAGCCCACACCCCTGGTCTGGTAAGGTGCACAGAGCTCAGCAGTGGGAGTAAGGCAGGAGCAGGTCAGTCAGGGGCAGGCAGGTCAGGTGGGCAGACTGCGAGCTCCAGTGGAGTACACAAAGCCCAGGAACTGGGCTCAGGGGGTCCAGGGTGCTGCAGAAAGGTCGGGGCCCCGGGTCTCAGGCCAGCCTGCCTGACCACCCTGCCCCCTGCCAGGCCCTGCTGCACCTGTTGCTGCTCTACGGGCTGGTGGTAACCACGGCGCTGATCTGGCACCCCATCAACAAGCTGGCCGCCCTGCTCCTGTTGCCCTACCTGGCCTGGCTCACTGTCTCCGCTTCCATCACCTACCGCCTGTGGAGAGACAGTCTTTGTCCAGAGCACCAGCCTCAGCCCGAGGTGGAGAAGAGCGACTGAGGCACCGGGGCACAGGGAAGGAGGGGAAGGCCAGGGAGGGTGGAAGAGACTGCAAGCAGGCTGGGGGATCTGGGGGGAGTGGGAGGTGGCCAGGCATTGACGAGTCCCTGAAGGTGATTCACCCCAATGCGGCCACTGTCCTCACTCCCCTGGTGCCAGTTTTCATTAGAATTCAGAGAAATGGGAAAGAGGAAAGAAACTTATTTTACACTTAATAAAAGATAATAAATCCTATATTAATAAGTATTAATTTAGTAATATCAATTAATAAAACGCTGAGACTAACTTTGGAGATGTGATATGAAGGGCATGTTTGAGTGAATGATGTCTAGGGCCACAGAGTGGAATAGAAGTGTGTGCCTGTATATAAGTGTGCACATGTGAAGGAATGTATGAACGTATGTATGAGGAGGGTGACATGCCATCTCTACTCCACTCCCATGCCCTCCCAAATCTGACCCCAAAATGTAGACTTTGATTTTTAATTACCTGAAAAAAATCTTTTTGGAAAGTTGAATAAAAGCAAAACAGAAAAGTAAAAAAGAATAATAATTTTACATGTCAAGTTTATATATTTTATTAAATATTATATTAATCACATATTATATTACATATCTCATAATTATAATTTACTTAATAACTTATTTTAATTAGGATATTATATTAATTATGTTAATTATGTTAATTATATTAATTACCATATCCTATATAATAAAAGTCTAATATGCTAAGTGTCCAACCATTTGTTGGACCGTTTGACCATTCACTATGACATGCACTGACCACCAGGGGGCAGATGCTCCAATCAGTAGGTTAGCTTGCTGCTGGTGTCCGGGCAATCAGGACTGGAGAAGATGGGCCAGACTCTCCCTGGAGCCCTCCTGGGGTTTCTCCCCAGCCCCAATCATGCACCAGTGGGATCCCTCAGCCTGGCCTGCACCCTCTTGCAATCCAGGACCCCTTGGGGGATGTCGGAGAGCCAGTTTTGGTTTTGGACCGATCCCTGCAGGCCAGGCTGAGGGACCCCACCAGTGCACGAGTCTGTGCACCGGGCCTCTTGTTTAATATATAATAGAGTTATAAGATATATTATATTATACAATACAGGCCCAGTGCACGAAATTTGTGCACTAAGGGGCGGGGTGTCCCTCAGCCCAGCCTGCACCCTCTCCAATCCGGGACATCCCTCTCCAATCTGGAACTGCTGGCTCCTAACCACTCACCTGCCTGCCTGCCTGATCGCCCCTAATCGCCTCTGCTTGCTGGCCTGATCGCCCTTAACTGCCTTCCCCTGCTGGCCTGATCACCCCTAACTGCTCTCCCATGCCAGCCTGATTGCCCTTAGCTGCCTCTGCCTCAGCCTCCACCACCACCACCATGGCTTTGTCTGGAAGATGTCTGGTCTAATTAGCATATTACCCTTTTATTAGTATAGATTATATATGCCGTACTAAGGCCTTTTGTGACTAATATAAGTAATATTATAGATCATTTTTTGTTTTCATATACTCATATTGTTAGTTTTTTACATCAGTTAATAACTATTATAATAAGAAATAAATGTTGTTTAAAAAAAACAAAAAGGAAGAGATTTAAGGCTCTGGTGTGACGAGTGAATTCAATAGGAGCTTCTTGTCCAGCCTTCTCTCTTGCTTCTCTCTTTCTACACCTTCTCATTGGCATTTTTATTTTCATCTTTCCCGCCTCTTGTTTTCATCTCCTCTTGTTTTAAAGCCCTAATGGTAGCAGGATATGACTGCTGCTGTGGCTACCTGCCCAAATCCTAAACAAGGCCCGGGGGAGTC